AGAACCTATACAGAAGCTGCAAGTCATTTGGCGTTTAGAGGAGAATCAATATTTGTTACTATCAATAACATAACTGAAATATGCAATTTGTTAACTAGCGAAGACAACATGGATACGGTTGGTTATGGAGAAGAGGATGCAGGCAAGACAAATGATTATATGAAGACGACATCCTGAACGACCCACACCTGAAAAAATAAGGATAAAAATGATTAACAAAAAAAGTCTCAATACTAATCCACTAGCTAAGGCTAATACCAAATCCAGGCTTGCTTGTCTTGTAGGATCATCTATCAAATGTGAGTTTGAATTTTGTTTGACATGATTTTCTTTCTTTCAATTTCAATTTTTTGTTAGGTGGTATGAATATATAGTTAGGTTTAGTGATCTAACAAGTGACAAGAGCTATTAGTCCAGTAACAACTTGAACTATGCATGAGCAATTGCCTTCCTGCGGACGGTTATAATGTTATATTGATCTCATCAGTTAATCTGTCGAGTTATCTTGTTTACGTTGCTCTAACTTTTGTTGTTATAAATTACTTTCTTCTTTTCCCTTTTTTAGCTGTGAGATGACCGCGAGTTGAAAATTCTAATCCAAAGATGGCCGTTGTAGAATCATGAGAGTTGTATTGTTCTTTTGTTTTCCCCTCAAATAATTCTCCTTGAACTGGTTCAAGGACAGGGATAGAGGGATATGATGATGTGACAGATAATAATTGAATGTATTTTTATTTTTTTCCAAACTGTCTAATCGTGCGTCAACACATGTCCCCCCTGCTTCTGAACCTATCTCTATGCGTATTTGTATAGCATGATTATTTCCCCTTTTCCTCTCATTTTTACTTCCCCACTTCTTTTGTTTTTTTCTGGAGAAACAAAGTTTGTTATGCATGCAATAGGGGTTTTTGATCAATAACATTATTTTTGACTTACAAGCATCTATTTGTAAAGTATCATGATACACTCAGCAGTTGAGATGAAAATAAATAAATAGAAGTGATTGCCCTCTCTGTATTACAGTATTAGTTGATATAAATTGCATCTGACAACAGCAGTTAAGCTCTAAAATTTAAATCTGAAACATTATAAAATCGAAGAAAGTTCCCAACATTAACTCTGGGGAGCTTTCTCCTGTACATACATATCTCTGCTTCTGAACACTCCTCGTATTTGAAGACCAAGGTCCATTAACTGCAAGTTGATTAATACATGAATCATCATTCTAGAGACCAGGACGTATCTTACTTTCCAACTCGGAGTTTCTTAGGTGTGAAAGCCAGCCGACATTAAGCCCTTTTATGAATTCGGCATGAGATAACATGATATTCATTGTTCAGATAGCAAGATTCAGGACCAAGTCACAAAGTCAATGGCCATAATATTCAGAATCATGAAGAGCAATTGTCACTGCAATTATTGAATAATTCACGCTGTATCAGGCTTAATATTTTCCATTCTCGATAATCCAAGTATGTTTCACAGATTGGACTGCATAAGGAATCACACTCTGAGAATACGTGTCAACTTGTAGACCTGCAGGAGGAAAAGGTGTCATTCACCAGATATTACAGAGGGTTCGAACAAATGAAAAACCTATAAACATAATGAAATGAGGGTAATTCTCGGAAGGAACTTCATAGGTATAAATACATAGGTATAAAAAATTCATTTCAATTGGGCCATTGTGTTTCGTATAGCATGTCAATGCATCTATTCCTAAATTTCTTAGGAACTTTTGGGATAAACCCAAATTTTCATATTTTTAAATGTGTCTATATTCCGTCATACTACTCTTTCCCATTTTCTGTGTTATTTCCCACCGGAAAAGGAAGAAGATAGAAGCTTTATATCTAATAATAATCCTGACCTGAGCAGTTCTACTTGGCAATGGAACTTCCAAACAAAATCTTACACCATCAATTCTGCAAATTAAAAATTCTACGTCAATATCAAAGAACAGGTAGATAAATAAAATATAGCAAATGAAACAGACATCTAACTCAGTCCCAGACAAGGTAGGAAGAAAGATGAGGGTATTGTAACTCACCTTCTACTGATGGTTCTTTGAACATACTGGTCATGACCAATTAAACCTTGACCTCCATACATCTTTTCATCCGTATTCATTACGATCTGTGCCAGTTATTCATATATTTGTGTTACCAAGGTAATAAATGTCCAGAGTTTGGCCAGACCAACTTGAAAATGATGAAACACTGTGATAAACTACAAGAAAGAGCATACAGAGAAGACTAACAAAGGCCATAATTTCAAGATAAATGGGCCCAAACACGTGCTACTATTTGTGGTCACACAGTTCTTGCCACTGTAAGAGTTTTCAGCCAATTATTTTTGCAATCATTCTGATAACATCCCTCAGGGCTTATAATACATAAAAGGTTGGTAGTCGAAATGATAATCAAGTGATTCCAATTTCCAACCTCCACTTTTCTCCTTAATAAAGGGAAAAAATGGCGATATAGAATTTTCGGAAAAATTGGCATAGTACGTAGCAAATTCTCCGCCTCCCTCTTTTAGAACTTCATTACACGAATGTATCGTAGAAAAAGAATATTATACATATAACACGGAATGAATACATTTTTGCTATACATTTTTGTAGTTTCTTTTTTTATGTATTTTCTTGTGTGTATTGTTTTTGTTAGCTTCTAACACTAACCTACGTTCAGGATGTATCCAATGACTGCTTCTGCACGTGTATAAGGGACTAAATTAACAAATAGTATTATTAATATTCACTGAAGGACCCAAAGTACTTTCCTAGCCAAGAGAGCATTCTCAAAGGTATGAATAGAGATATATGCAGGCGCAGGACGCATTTTATCAAAGAATCATACCTGACTCCATAACATGTATCTACAAGATTTTAATACAAATCCAATTGCTTGCATAAACTTCTAAGGAAATCTGATGAATCACTTACTTGATACTCTCCAGCTTCTTCAACACCCACATTATATCTTTCATACGAATTTTCTGGATGAAAATTGAACACCAAGAGAAAGGGACCTCTTATATAAGATATCACCTGCTCCATAAGGAAATGTCTCAGATATATGCATGTTTATAAGAATACATAGCATGGAAGCACTATGCAAAAGGTCACAAAAGATTGTTTTCCTTTTGGTGTAATCTGGCAGAGAAGTCAGATAATCTAACATAGAGATGAGCAAGAAGGATGCCAAATTAAGTCAGCAGTGCACTTTAATGTGACCGATTGCAATCAGAAATGATTGTACAATGTCTAGGAGAGATACGAGTCTAATTGCAGGGAAAGGGAGTCGACTCTAATTCCCCCTAATGCTTCATTGGTTCGTATACTTCAGCGAAAAAACATGAAGCACAAGAAAATTCAGAATGAATTACATTTCTTTTTCCGATAAAAAATGAAGTGCAAATTCAGAAGTTTCGAAATGTAGTTGAAAATTTAAATGAAAGTTAGAAGGAATTCACATGCCTCTTCACAAGTTCTCATTTATTATTTCAGCAAGCTGAGCAGACACTAAATAATTATCGTTATCATGGCTCTCTCACTCTCAAGTCAGTTGTCATTTGTCATCTGGAAAGCACCACATACATAGCAATAGAAACAAGAAATCAAAGGTGTGTGCTAAACTAGAACTTGTCATACCATTGTAGAGTCGTTTACGTGGTGAATACTGGGAAGCCCTCTTGAACCTCTTAAGAGTATTCTTTCATTTGAATCCAATTTCATCATATCCTGAAAGTAAGAAAGAAATAAGAATCTCAATGGCTTGTCGAGGTGTAGTTCAATCTTTTCTGCAAATTATTCCAACTGATAATTCGATCCACCTCCCCTATTCCCTCCCCCACCCCTTCAGGGGCATATTTCTTGTCTACACGGGTTTATGACATTTTCCATAAAGTCTATACATAAATAAGTTAATTTTAAAAACTTCTAGTTCAATCCACAGGAATGTCCATCCCGTTGATCACCAAAATCTTGTCAAAATAAATAAGCCTAGTTGCCTCCCACTGGAAAAACGTGAAATCAGAGCAAAAACAGAACAGGCAAAGCAATACTGACCTTATCAAAAGCAAACAATCTGCTGTGCAGGCCATCATTTTCCAAAAGATCCCAGTGGCGATTAGCAAGTGAATATGAGAAACCATTGCTTGACATTGGGAACTCAACTCCCTGGCATAAGTAAAATCATTAAATCTATGAAGATTGTGTTGTTATACATACGCTAGGAAATTAGAACTTACCTTGGGGTGCCCAAATTCATTTCCCATGAAATTGAGGTATGCTGGGCCACCAATTGTAAAAGTAATTAATCTGATCATCTAGAAAATTAATAAATCATAGTTATAATTTGTTACTGTTGCATTAACTAAAGCATATTAAAATAGTACGGAAAATGGAAAAAAGATGGATAAAAGTGAGACAAAAACCAAAAATTTTATTTTGCAAAATTGTCGCTGATCAATGGAACATGTTTTCCCAATTTTTAGCAATAGGCTAAATATTAAAAGAACCCCATATTTTCCATAAAACTGCAATTTCTAAGTCAAAATTATCTTAAAAATAAAATTTCATTTTAAAAGTGTTGAGAGACAAATGTTTCATTTTCAGCCTTTTTTTTTTTAGCGAAAGGTATGGTATACAAACAACTGCCTGTATTTACATAAGCAGGGCATGCGTGGGGTTGACAAAACTAAGGAAAACAGAGACTTTTATGTTACAAGGAAAAAACCATGGTTAACATGTACCTTGTGCAATGAACAACCTCTTAATAATGACTCTTCTGTGTTCGAAGAACCAAACAGGATTTCAGCAAATGACCGGCCCCCAGATATGGACTGGCAAGCAAGAAAAATAATTTATCAAACCACTTATATAATAACCAATTAATATGACGATATAGTTAGACTCCTTATCAGAAGAGAAGGATGAAGTGGAGAGAGAGACAAGCATATAATAATTAATAAAAGATCATATTAAGAGAAGATAGTGAATGACCTGGTTGTGATTTTCTGCATACAAAAGCATCTTATCCGCATTGATTCTTTCGCCGATTAAGGTGTTGATGAGCTAAGAAATTATAAAAACCATAGGAATAATCAGCAAAAACAGATACACTAAAACCTTTTACGAGGGAAAATGAAACCTAGTGTTGAATGAACAACCTTACTCATACTCCATTCATGGTCTGGAACATTTTCAAGAAATGACAACCACATCTCTGATGCAGAGAGATTAACAAAGTAATCAAATCCCAAACCACCTTGAGAAGTTGGCTCACAAAGTCCAGGATAAAGTGTGGCCTAAGCAATTTATACAACAATCACCACGAGTGAGCAAGTCACAAAGTGGATGAGGAAAATGGCTTCGAAAACATAATTACCATAGGATGGAAGATATTTGGTTTTTAGGTTCTGATTACCGAAAACACATGCTAAGAAGCAAATAAATTCACGTAAGAGAATTTATTACTGCAGTCTAAACTAAAAACCTTTTTTCCTTGCAAGGAGATTGCATTTTTTCCATGAAAGAACAATCAGACATTATACCGCTGAAGAATTGACTAATAAACAAGTCATTCTCACGGGCAGATATAATTTACTGCTAAGTGAAAACTACTGACGCTGAAATATTTTAACCCAATGACCCAAGATAATCATGGCATTTTTAGGTAATTTTAGACGCCGCATTTTGCCCCTTCCTATTTTTCAAATAAAATTTCTCTGTCATTTTGTTTGCTATGCAAAAGTGTGTGCATCAAAAAGTGGCTCAAATGAAACTTCCAGCTTGATTCTATATTTCCACTTTTGTATCTTTTCCATCATTGAGTTTCATGCTCAAATGTGAATCAATCGAACCTTCAGTTTACTGATCTAGTTCTGTCTTATAGCTATCAATGGCAGCTCTCAAAACATTATGAGCCCCTCCCCCCCTCCGATCTATGGAGAGAACCATGCTGTCCAGCAAGACATGTTAAAATTTGGAAAGGTGAGATTTCTTCAGGTCATAACATTTCATCCGCAGAAAATTTTGAGACAAATATGTGCCAGTGCCACAAACCGAACTTTAAATCAGAAGGTATAGCCCAGCCAGCAATCTAGTTGCAGCCAGACACCCATTTTTGCAACTCTGCTATAACAATTCATGGAAGCACATCTATGGTTCTGCCCGAACCAAAACTTGGCCATTAAATTTTCCTTGCCACAAGCATGTGGCTGTGTTCCAGTCACAAAACAGAAGACACAACTATTTTCGTGACTTGTCTACATACCTCCACACACTCAAAGCCCATAAACACTCCTAGGTCTAGAGTTCACAAAATCCTCTCTGCTATTTCACGTAACTTTAGCTGTTAGGAAGACGGAAAATACTGGGGATAGGGTGGTTGCTTCTGCTGGAATAACCCTTCAAGTAGGAGATAAGTTGTTGCTTCTGCAGTAATAAAAGGGTATTTTTGTTGTCATTCTTCAGTGGAATTTGTTGAAATCCAAAAGTGAAACCTTTGGTGCTGGATGTAGATTGTAGAACCCACGAACTATAAATTGAGTTCACCATTCTCCATCTTCCCTCATTACTCTAGTAGTCATGAAACCAATCTTGCAGAAGTAAACCAATTGGTGCAATGAATACATTACTGAATATTTTCATTACATTTTCACTTCAATTAAAAGTTTTCAAAGCAAATGAGATAAAAACCTGTACTCACACCAAAGTGATTTACACTCAAATTGATTACAATACCACACAGCAAAGTGTTTTCTTTTTTGAAACAGGAAAATATATCTCATGTATTGTGACTTACTTGACCTAATCCATAATAATAACCAATAACAAAGGTTATTAGAGTTACTTCCTTTAACGTTTAGAAGATAGAAGATTGTGCGCCAATACATAAAAAAATATTCGTTATCATTGCCTACTGAATAAACAAGTGAAATTACTTACATCTTCAGCAATCGTGATAATATTAGGATGAAGAGCATGCAATATCTCATTTGCCAATATGAGATACAGCAACGCATCTTTGTCAACATACTGATTACAGTACCTGCAAAAGAAACCCATTATCTGTAGACTAAGAAAACTCTAAAATCAATGAAGGTAAGGTAACAAAGTATGATCTCAATATGGCCAGACATTATAATGTTTATTTTGACTCCTAACTAGCGTCACATACGAAAGCACAGAAACAAAGCCACATAAAAGTGACTACAATAGACCTGTCATATATTCTAAGGTACCAATAACGAAACTATGAATACAAGGCCTAGTCAACCTGATTGAGTTAGAAAATCATTTATGACACAGAACGAAAAATATGTTATTTAGGATCAATTATTTGCCATGACCAACAATAATTCAAGAGCTACTACATCTCAACAGCTAACAGCAAGGTCTCAGAAACCTTACTCCTCCATGTCACCAGTAAAAGAAGCAAAGCCATTGTGTGTATACAACATTGATGGGAGAGAGTGGAAATGGAAACCATCAATCTGGTATTCCAGTACCCACCTGTGAAAAATCAACATGAGAGTAACGTAGAACCAGTCAAAATGCAAACACAAAATCAGATGATTAATAAGCCTATAAAACATGAAAAATGGCCACACGTGAGATTTCAAGAAATTAAAAGGAAGCACTAGTGTGCTACAGAGTTACCAATTTAGATTTGAAAGAAGAAAGTGCAACACATCATGATCTCCGTATTTGAACATTCTTGTGCCCCAAAATTTATGGTGACCTCTTTTACCTATGGCAAAAAAAAGTTACATACTGTTAAGGGATAAAATTCTACTTCGAATAAAAATGAAAATCTAGACTAATATATAAGGATTTTGGATATTCCTCTTAATAAGGTTGACATTTTAGGATAAAATTCCAATTCTTAATATGATATCGGAGTCATTAAGCTCCAACAAACAATTCGATCCGATTAAAACTCAAAAAAATGAGTACGCGAATTTCAAGATTGGTTTGTTCAAACGAACCATCATCTTACGGGGCATTTTAAGGGATAAAATTTCACATCGAAATATCGAATAAAGATAAAAATCTAGACTAATATATAAAAATTTGGGCTGCTCCTCTTATGGAACCCCAAGTCTGAATGGCATGTTAGAAGAAAGCAAGAGCCCTTTTTTTGATAGCCATCATAATCACAACTTTTGTCATAATATGCTAAGAGAAAATCCAAATATCACTGAAAGATGCAGTTTTCTGGACAAGATGGGAAGTCAATCACACTGTTTATTTAGTAACAATGGTGATGAAAATTAACTCATCAGAACTTCCCTGCACCATGTGACGTTTTAAGCAGTGGTACAAGATTTCTCTTAGGACAAACAAAAAGCACTTCCGTATGATATAGAAACCAAAACTAGAAATAAGTGGTAGAAACACGATGCAGGGTGTTAGGAAAGCATGCAACATTTGGCATAACCAAAAAAGAAGTTACTGTGAATGTGTAGCTTGCATTCTCTTTCTTTTTCTACTATATCTGGGATCCAAACACAGTACTAATCAGATTACACAATCACATATGCAATCATAGATACATGCAAGCATACACAATCCATTGACAATACATACTTGACCATGGCGTGCTAGAAAATGCAATGGAAGTTAACAAAAAAAAAAAAGTGAATCTCACTTTAAAAACATGGCAATCATACATATACAACTCCAATGTTGAATGAGTAAACAACAGACATTCACATAGTCGTACAACAACAAAAAATTTGTGGCTTGTTCCATTCAATTTTTCTCCAATTAGCTTTATACTAAACCAACATGAGAGCATACCAAGATTCATCTCTAAACAAAGCTTACCCGTATGAAAGTAGCAATCATTTGATCCATCAAAAAGTGATAATCCAACCATTTCATCGGCTGCAGCGTATGAATGGACCATATCTAAGAAGACAAGTAGTCCAAGTCCTAAAGAAAATAGAAAGAGCAATAAGTAACCAACTTTCATGTAAGATTGAGAATGAACAACAAACTGTAGAATAAGGGTGGTCCAACTTACAAAACCTTTTTCAAAACTCGAAGTAATATACAAAGACTAAAATAGACAGAAATGGCTAGGAGAAGTCTGAGCCAGACATAAAATAACTAGTAACTATCCAACATAGCATTGATGAAAAATTTGGACAAGCTTGTGGATTACTCTAGCAACATGTTGGAATTTATTGTGGTAAAGGAGATGGATTGGAATAGAATAATCTACAAAATAGAGTATTTAAGTAATGGAGACTTGATAAAACCTTTCAGATGAACTCCAGTTTATATTTTTAAGTAGGAAGAAGCAACATAAACAAACAAATTTGGAGTCACAACCTCCAAAAAACTTGCATGATCAACCCTAATGAAGAAAAGGTCCACAAGAATTGGAAACTAAATGCCACTTCTGTATTTACTCAGAGAAAATGAAAGAAAAGATTGAATGCTCACAAATGGGCCCTAGTTCTTCATTTCCAGTCTCAGTGTACTTCTGGACTCAATCATCACCATCATTCAAACTAGTTTGAGCCACATTTAGTAGCAATTAGCAAACTATCTAACAGATCAAACAGGAGAAACCTTGCCATCATCTATAGTTCAAAATTCCTTTTCAATTTTTCTTTTCGACGTGATATTTGAAAGTAATTGTCATTCACTCAAAAATACATACCAAGAGGAAGGAAAGTATTCCCATGTAAAAAGACAGGGAATACCATATACTTGCAGAGTTGTCATCTTCATAGTTTTTACCAAAACCATATAAAGTTCATCAATTTTTTAGATCGTGTTTAAAATTCTCAAGTTATGAGTAACCAAATTTCATAATATAACAGTACATGACTCTGATTAAATAGTAATGGCTTAACAAAAGCATTAATATTCTTATCGTAGTGACATTAATAGTTACCGTGGGCTTCATCCACCAAACGCTTGAAGTCATCAGGAGTGCCAAAACGGCTGCTAACAGCATAGAAATTTGTAACCTGCATACAGACAAGCAATGTAACCATGCTCATGTAGTAACTATAAATTGCTCAACGTAAGGGAATGACTATATTAAAATCATTAGTAGCATGTCACGAAACACTATCTGCTTAGATTCTGTAAAATATCCAGTTTGAAGCAGCGCAAAGTCCACGGGGGTCAAAATGGAGATGATCACAATACAGATAGGCAGCCAAATTTCAAACACATAACGCAGAATATGATTTGAAAAATATGCATAAAGAAGAAACTTAAGATGACATAAAGGCTTTAGTTCGCTGAAAAATTAAGAATGAAAAAGCATGCATATGAACAGTGTGAAAGGAAGTTCCACAGTGTGTAAATGTGTCTGGATATTTGTTTGTTGGTCAAATAACTGAGATTCTATTTTTATATTCAGGTTCTATGCCACGCCAATCAAGAATATATGAGGTCTTTTCCGGCATACAAAAATATGAGTAGACAACCATTTTCCCAGAAAAAAGTAATAATTTATTATCACCTTCAGTGTAAAACAATATGATATTTTCTCATTAATCTTTTCTCATTCTTTTTGGTATTTTATTAATCATAAGTCTTTTCCGCAGGCAAAGTGAAGACAATAACCAAATTGGAGTGTTAATGCACTTATGCAATTCCACCATATGTGGACACGAAAAAAAAATGAAGAAGTTAGCTTTTAACTCTCACTCACTCTATAACCAACAGTGAAATAATCTTTGTGCTCAAGAACTCCAATCAATTGAATTGCATTGTATCCAGCTTCCTTTACATGTGGTAGAACCTACAATGACAATTATGAAAAACAGCATTGTTTAATACCTAGTACAGAAAAAGGGAGAAACAACAAACAAAACTTGGTACTTGAAAAAATCAAGGAGATACCTTCTTGGTGAAGTCACTGAAACTAGCAACTCTAGGCTCTTGTCCACTTATGCCAACATGACATTCATAAATGCGCAAAGATTTTGGCTTTATTGGATGCTTGTGTTTCCATTTGTAGGCTGTTTCTGGAGGTGGTTCCCAGTGAACTGCAAAAGCTTGCTTGCCATCTGCATCTGAATATTTAAAACCGCAGATGAAGAATTAAGAAGGTAACTGAACAAGGATAAAAAGGGATTGACGTAATTTCAGAGCCGAATTAAACAGTGGATTTGTCAAAATTACAGGAGAACAGTAGAAAATTTCATGCTAGATGAAGCCATATTGGTGTGGCAACAAAACAAATCCAAGGAAGACTAGCTGACCTGGAATTACATAAGTAGCCCAAGCAGGCACTCGCTCCAAAGGCCCCGTTGGAGTGTTGAAGTACACCCTGTATTTGCTTAAATGAGGTATGCCAGGAGTGTACTTCTTTAACCATGCTTTCCGTCCTTTTCGAGTCTCCAACCAATAGGCAATGGGAGGCTTCTTAGCACGAAATTTCTCTCTCCAGACGGGATCGTCCACAATATTGAAAATGTCGTATTCTTTTCCATTATCAATCACGTCACAAGGTGGTAAGTTGCTTGGTGGATCATCTTTATGCTGCTCTTTCCAGGTCTTGTATCTTGTCTCTGGATCTGGAATTTCTTCCAGTTCGTCTTCCGTTTGAGGCCCATTAGGACCAAAAATCTGCTCATACAACTTTGATGCAACTTCATAGCGTGATTTTATAAAACGATCTTCACCAGGTTCCCAATACTCATCATTTGCCTTTTTAAATATTTCTTCAACTGTAACACCACTGTCACCTTTATCATAATCATCAACATAACTGTACTGTTGAAAGTACAGTTTATCGGGTTCTTCTCCCTCTCTTAGTTTATCTTCAAGAATAATAAACCAGTACCCATAATCATCATGTCCAAAATGACCCTCTCTGGCACTATTTTCCGTTGGTGACCACTCATTAAAATCGCCGACAAGAGCACAGTAGCGGGCACCTGATTCGAAAAGTTCAGCACACATTTTTGAATGGATATGAAACACCTTACTTTGGTACAATTTGTATACTTCATGTATAATGCTAAAACCTACAATTGGCTGAGTTCTAAACTAAGTATGTTACATACTCCCTCACTGGTTTTTTAATATGTATCAGGTAAGGACAAAAGCACAAAACAATTGAAGTTATATGTAGCTTTTTCCTTATCGTAGTCAGGAAAACTTCAAGTCGCATAATAATACTAAATATCTTGTATGGCAAGAATTATATCTCTTCTTTTTAAATGATGCACCCTTCAATCTTGTATGCCATTTTTATCTAACAAGTCACAATTTCACATTAAATTTCAAAAACTTTATAAAAGGCCATTGAATGAACGACCACATCCAAAAGGTTACTTATATATCACTACTCGAGATGAAAACTTTGTTTTCTTCCATCTCTCTTCTCCATTCAAAACTTCTCTTCTTGCAACTATTTTGAGTAAAAGTTGGTGTCAATTCGGTGATAAAGGGAAAAAGCTCTACCCATAATTTCTTGTGTGATTGAAGTGACTGCTGCTTCCATTGACAATGGCCTGAGACTTTGAGCACTAGAGGAATATCTTGAAGATACATCATGAATAAATTGGTGGATATGTGTAAATTTTATGTTTATTAACTCGACTTCTAGTTCATTTCATTCTACCTTCGATTTGCTAGATTACACATGGCTTAGAAATTCTCCTATTGCATTAGGTCAAACCTGGTGCCCAATCCATGAAATCCACACGATGTTGGACATTGCGATGCATACCCAATATCTCAAACCTACAAAGCAACCACAAAAAATGTTAGTGAAAACACAAAACTGGCCTAAATAACAAAGTACCCACAAGTTGGACTATTTCACAAACAACTGGTATGCAGTTCCATGCACATTAACTTCCACACAGAATTTGAAAATTAAGCGTGCTCGTTGATATTGACTATAATCCAAATATATTTTCATATGCAGACATGCGAGGGAAGAGTTACTATGAAATAAAGAAAGACAAAACATGTAAAAGATTCTAACCCAGAGGCAAGCTCCATGAGATTGAGGTGGCGATTGAAAATTTCGTCCTTCAAGTCCTTTAATGCTTTATGCCTGCAATAACGCCTAACATAAAGCATGCGATATCCCCCCAAAAAATCCTTGCACAAATTTATGGTACTCTAATTCCACTAATTCAAGAGAGCGGAACTGAGAATAACCAGCTCTATTAATCTGCTTAATTACCTTTCCCGTAGGAACTGAGCGAAAGCTTTATGAGTAATGCCGTGTTTGGCGAGGAACCCAACTGGGTCGACGCCTTCTTTTTCGGCACCGGGCTGTCGAGTTTTCCTGTGTTGCTGAGGTTTTGATTGTGAATAGTCAGCGGCTGTGCATTTGCATTTGTTTCTCCTCTTCTTTTTACTGGCTGGAAGGGAAACGCGAACATGGTGGTGATGTGTTCTGTCACTTTGCGGAAAGGGAAAATTGTGAACAGAGCTGCTCGTGGGAAGTAACGGGATCCAAGTCGTGTGCGCGAGGGAAATCATTGCAGCTGTAGAGTGATGTTCACGAGGTAGAAACTAGAAAGTTTGGTTCTTGATAAGAAACTGAAATTGAATTGCAGGGTTTAACCAAAACCCACAAAAAAATTGCTAGCTTTACAAAATATAATTTATAATTGTATATATTTGAAAAATATTATAACTGATTTAAATAATAAATAAATAGAAATGAGTAAAAAATAATGCGTACGTTCCATTGAAATGCGGCTTACTTAAATAAGAATAAGCCCATTCGATCTATTCAATACAACGTATCAAACATGCCAAATGTATTTTAAGAAATTGGATGTGCCACCGAACCCATTCCAACATTTTCCAAAGAAGTATAAAATCAAACATTACAATTGTGGTCGGGTAAAAACCACCTCTCCAAGAAAACAAAATTTTTATAATGGAAGTTCATGCATTACATAAATAGCCATGTTCTAAAATGCGTGAAAGTGCGCCGCTTAGGTGCGCCTAGGCTCGACGCGGGTCGAAAACGCGTCGAATTCGAGAAATGCGAGAAAAATGTGTTTTCCATCTAAAATGCGAGAATAATGCGAGCCCAGGCACGCATTATCTAATCTAATCCTTTTTTTTTTTTAATCTATTTTTTTTTATGATATATTAAAAAATCTATTTTTTTATATAAAAATATATTTAATACCTTAAAAATACGAAACGCATTATGGCGCTTATTCTTCGCATTGACACGCCTAAACTTGTGATTCTTGATTCTCGGCCTCGACGCT